GGTGGCCCTACAGTGATTGTCACATGGGACAGGTCAAAAAGTACCTCATCCTTCTGCGACCTCCAACTTTTAAGCTTCCCAAGTCATAACATACCCCCTTCAAAAACTCCAGAGAATATTCCCCTCTAATCGGGGGCAAAAACATTCAAAATATATTTCGATTTTTTCTAGTTCCAGGACTTTTTTCCAACCTAATACAATAAAATATGGAACAGCGAAAAAAATGATTAAAATTCAGAGATTCTAGTGTGGCTCAGAAACAAATCAGGAGTAATGATCTAGATACTGTAGATCCGTCCGGTGCGATTTGGATCCAATGGATTGATGAGTTCCGGGGAAGAGTGCTGTATCAAATCGCCATAGTAGAAGTGTGGTCTGTGAGGCAATTCAACCGAATCTCTAAAATCAACAAAATTGTGTTATGAATTATTTCAACATAATTTCTGAAGAATGGAAGCGTTGACTGACTCCGCCCACATGATCAGCTTAGGTTTCGCTTTTCGGTGTCTATTTGGGAGGCAGACAGTAAAAATAAAAATAAACCAACCCACTATTTTTACACTGCAAAAATGAATAATAAAATCGAAATATAACACATCAGCAAATTTCAAATCATCGAAAGCAAATCAACGCAAAAAGCTCTGTCTATTAGGGATCCGAACCCATGACATGCTGCGCGTGAGCCGCCGCAAAAAGGCCTTAATAAGGTTGCGTTCATACTTTGCGCAGCGTCCACCAACGTCTACCAGCGTCCACTAGCGACCACAAGCGTTCCGAGTGTCCGGCGGCTTCAGCGACTCGGAAAGTATAGATATCGATTCCGCGTTGCCAGCGTCTACCAGCGACCGGGGGTAGAGAGTATGGGGAAAGGGAGCAGGCAGTTGGATTAAAGGTCGTGAGACTACAGCATGTGCAACCGCACCGCTGTAGTCACAACGTTTAATCCAACTTACGTCTGCTGAAGCACAGAATTACGCAATTTAATGTACGGTGTCGTATAGTTGTACGATGCGGTTCCGGCCCTCATGCTCTCTCCCAGAACTGGTTGACGCTGGTAGACGCTGGCAGACGCTCAGACGCAAGATCGGTACTTATAGTTCCCTAGCCCTAAGCTGACAGACGCTGGTGGACGCTGGCAGACGCTAGATCGATATCTATACTTTCCTAGTCGCTGACGCTGCCGGACGCTCGGAACGCTAGTGGTCGCTGATGGACGCTGCTGGTCGCTGGTGGACGCTATCGCAAAGTATGAACACAGCACAACCCCGTTCAGAAAACAGCTATGCAAAGTGGTGGAATCATGTTCCAGACCAGCGTCTGAAGCGTATACATCGCTCTGCAAATGCCGTTTTCGACATGTAATCCTTTGGTGGTTGAAAAGGTGAGGCGCATCAATCGGGGAGCTCTTGGAATGGGCCTGGGTCCGCCTCTACGACAAGGGTAAGGTTATTACTATGTTTCGTGTAAGCATTAAGATATCCAAACAAAATATAAGGTCCAGAAATCAAAAAAATTCCACTGTATTAAGAGGATTGAAAATGAAAGTGAAGTCTGCTGTACCAGCTGTCACTTACACGCCTCTAAAATTTGGGAGAGAATTATATATAGACTGATTGAGCTGCTGCAGTTCTTCCATAGCTGTGTTCGCCCTGAAGAATTGGAGTTCACAAAATATTAATTTGAACTTAAGCTATGATACCAAATGTTATGATAATATAATAACTATTTAAAGTTTTTACAAATATCCAAAAAAACATAATCAAAAGGTGAACATTCGGAAATCTTAGCAGATTTTGTGGAGTTCACCTCGTTCGGATTTGACCCGTCTCTTCGTCAATGCATTCCATGAGAATCTGGAAGATCTTCTGAAATAACGCTTGAGCGTGGCGAATTCTTTCCTCGGGGCTTGCATCTTCATTTTGTGAAGTGGTTTCAATCTAGTAACATGTTTAATACAGTAACATTTACACTACAACTGTGAAAAATAACCTTACCAACTCTCTGATCCTTGCCCTGAATTCGGACTTACTCTCTTTCTGGAAGTAAGATTTACTTTTAGTGCAATACAATGTAACATTGTATAAGAAGAATGAATCAGAAAATACAGTATTCTACTTCTCCCAGCTATGTACGTTGGATGCTTCAAATTTGGCTCGATCAACCAAATTTTAGCTGCGGCGTAGCGCACACAGGGTACAGCATCATAATGTGTGAAGTGGCGGTGTCAATACTACCTCCCCCCTCCACCTCCTGGTGAAGGATCCTGGTACAACCCCCCCCCCTCCTCTTCCCGACACTGTTTGCTCTGACGAAAAGTATTAGATACGTAACGACTCGCAAGCGCTTGCGGCCGCGTTATGATTCCATGGCAAATTAGCGGTGGAGCAGATCTGTTGGCCGGTGGAAATCGCGGGGCTTTTTCTGAGGGTAGTAGCTTTTTGGGTGTGGGCTTTTGAGAAACTGAAGGTGGCGAGCGATCTCTCCACTGTTGCTTCTTCTACCTACTCGAAATCATATCTTGCCTTGTTCATGAAATATTCCGGATGGGTTGCGGACGCGTTAGTGGTGAATCGCGAGCGGGTTTTTATGCTTCAGACGAGAATACTTCTTTCAAACGCAATCTTTTGCAAAACTAAAAATGTCATCAGGACGCCCAATATTTTCCCTTTCAAAAGCTCTTCAATTTTGCTGAAGTCGCGCTAGTTCAGAAAATATTTTAGATAGGTCACCCATCTGAAATACAAATAGCCACTAAAAAGCTCGACTGTTCCCATGCCATTGTAAGGACATTCATTCGCGAACTTCAATAAGCCCTCAGAACACATATTCCCGTTGAACTGAGTCAAACTATAATTTGGTTGTCATCGATCGATTTGGTCCGGGGGTGCGCCGTGCATCACTTCTATGCAGAGGTGGTGGAAATGTGTAACTTCTAAGTTAGGGGATTTTTGTCCATGCAAGCATATGTTCGTCTGGAGTTTGGAAAGGTCGGTGCGCAGGAATCTGTTTGAGATGTATTATTTAGTCATCTATGTACTTACGAGTTCATGCTAGCCGTTGATATTTGCTAATCCACATCCCGAACCTCTGCAGCTTTCCTCTCTTCCGCTCCATCAAACTTAGCGATTACACTTTTGTGCTGTTTTCACCGACCACGTTTACAATTTCCCTAGTTGTGAATTTGGCTGAAGCATTGCCCTTGCTGGCTGTGACCCCTGCAGAACACTACAGGTGTTACACCAGAACCCTGAGCACCGATGGCATTGGCTAGCTTTTTAGCCGGCGTTTGTGACGATCATGGCAGGAGTTCCCCTTCTTTAACAAGTATTTGTTCAGGGATTAAACCGCTACATGCTCTAATCATATCTGGTGGCTTTAGGCATTTTAGTGCTGGCGCTTGAGGCGAATCGCCTGTTTCCAGCAAATCGGTTATGATACAGGTGTTTGAGAATTCCATTCACTGCACGAGATTGCAGCTCTACCACTACTCTTGGAGGAGATATTTGGCCTCAATTTTGACAACTATGGCAGGAAAGGATCATGGTGACGAGTTTTTTCTCTGGAATCAGAATCCAATAGAGGTCAGGGGATGGGTGAAATGGGATGCTTCTGCTCGAATGGGAGTCCCATCAGAAGTAGCCCTGAAGGATCTTTACCCTATTTTTTATCGAAGGTAATAATGGAGTAGATGACTTTTTAGTTGTCAAAGTTCATCCTATCAGATGATGAACTGCCTTGCCTTACCGGAACCAGTTTTCGAATTTCCTCCAGATCGGATTGATCATGAACATGCCGTCGCATTTGCTTCAGTGTTCCCCAGGGTCGACCTATAATCATTAATTATGAGACATGTGAAGAAGTATGATCGAAAATACTATATGTATAACAAGATCAACAACACATCATTGGAAGTTGAGAGAAAGCATCACCTTCTCTCTTGGATGTGTTGCTCCAGCGACCCTACAAATAGGCAGGTGTTGTTCGACAGAGTTTTAGGCGCCGCATTCGCACCAGGATTCAATTATTTAGTGTGGGGAAAGTTGCAGCATCTTGCGTTCACTGGTCAGGAAATGCTCTGCTAAGTCTTGTACCCCGCTGTAGCGTAGGACTAGCATCACCCCTCTCTGGGAAGAATTCTTGCCATCGCCATTCGTGGTAGCAATGGTAGTACGGAGTTTGAGAATCCTTGAAGACAAGCCGTACACCACGCCGGCCAATGCGTCCGCAGTAGTAGTTACTTTCTCCGCTCAAATGTGAACTAGAGCTGGGATGTAGGGCAGTGATGGCTAAGGGGGGCAGTCCAGCGACGGAGGGGTGGGGGGCATTTTGCTTTCGCTACTGCTCATCGACGTGTCGACCCATCTAGATAGTCTTTTGTTATGTTAACAGGTTCTACCAAGGTGGCTCTACGAGCTTGTTCTAGTTTCACAAGAGCTGACAGGTTACGTCGGAACGAGACTTGTAAATTGGGACTAGTGCACCGGTGGAAGTGCAAAATGTCCCCTCAACACCGAATGTGCCATGCCCGAGTGCCGTCTTCACACCAGCGCTACCCTCATGGTTCAATACTGTTGATAGCAAGGACCCGCAGCGAAACACACACTCAACGGTGCAGAACAGCTAGAGGTTAGAGAGTGCAGACAAGCGCGCGATTGACTATGCTTGAGCGTGTGGTGGCTGTGCGGTAGGGCACGCGGAGTATGGAAGACAGCATCCGGGCATCACTACATTCCAGCCCCGTTCCCGTGCACTTTGACTAGAGAAAGTGGCACGTGACCGCAGTTGGTGACACATCCCCACCCCACACGCGGTGAAGGTGAGGGTACAGTCCACATTCAGCGTGTCATGACACATCATACAACGTGTTGAAACTCTATCCGCCTGTATCAAAAGGGGCAAGCAGAATGAATGAGAAAAATGACGATTTTCAATGAAGGCTCACCTTCTATTGCTTGAAACACTCTGTTCAGCCAATTAGGAATGAACGAAAAAGGGATTCTTTCCATAAAGTGCCCTGCCCACGAGCCGCCTTGAAGACAATTACTACGACCAAGTGTTATGGGTAGTAGGTGCTCAATCATGAAACAGTAACACTAATTAATTCCCCAGTACAGAAAGAAGCGAAGGAAATCCCGGACACCCTGACCAGACCCCCTGCGATGTATCCGGTACCTTAGACGAGTTTGTCAGACGTCAGACAAATCCAATCAGCACTCAGGACTTGTAATGCCGCCGATTGCCGGCAAGAACATAGGAAATCGTCCTACGACGCTCCAGTTAACGTTACGTACACACGCAACACCGCTTGTAAGTAGTTTCTTGCAGAGTGAAAGTCTTCGTGATGGCAATGGTTGCAAAAGTCTCTAGCTTCTTTACATCGCCGTTCCAAGTGACGAAAGCGGTACATTCTCTACGAATGCAGCCAAATGCACAAAGGCATTTTGCGGATCACTTGATTGCGAGAACTGTCTTTAAAAAAAGACATGAATGAAGAGTAAAAAAGACTTCAATGAATAGGGCGCAGTGAGAGCCATTGCTCCGCTCAAACAAACCGCGTCAATGTGCATTTAACAAAGATTCCAATGAGGAGCTACACTTACGTGGTTAGAAGGAAATAATTTTCGTATTTCCAGTACACTGCAGATCCTCCTCCGGACACCTCTTCATATTCTTTCCTGTAAAACAATGGTGAACGAAGAATAAACTAAAATTGATAAACGACGTACATACAGGGGGGAGGCGCTATAAGTAACACTTTATCAAATTTTGATCGGACATTTTTACTACCATATTAAAGAGCATATTAAATACTATACTCCGCCACAGCCTTCTGGACGAGCGCCATCGAGAGATTCTGCCACGCGACCGTGATTCGGTGCCTGAGTTCAGCGAGATAGTCGATTTCTCCGCCACTGTAGACCACCCTATTGAACTCCGCCCAAACCGGGTAATTGAGGGGGTTTAGGTCAGGTGACCTACTTGGATATTCCATCTTCTTTAGGTACTCAACGCCCTTCCATTCCAAGTAGGCGAGAGTTTTTCCCTTCGATTCCATGTGGTGGCACCCAATCCTGTAGCAGTACAAAGTTTCCAAGAAGGTACGGGCGACGACATGAAGGAGGATATTCTCCTCGAGTTGCTCGATGTAAGCGTCAGCGCTCACTCCCAGTCCCGATTGAACCACTGCCATATACGGTCGCCATCATATGGCCGGACTGTCCCGGGGCGCCTGAAGCCGCGCTGCACTGTGAACGCGACAGCGAACAGTTGCGGCTCGATGACGGCGAATAATGCTGAATTTCCAAGGAATTTCGACTGCGAATTCCCACTTTTTTTAGCTCTTCAAGCTTCGAAAGTGGAAGGTGAGTTATTTTGAACAATTTTAAATTGTACTGGCTCTGAATGAATCTGAAAGAATGCAAGCCATTTGAATAAATGCCTGAAATAAGGCAAAATACAAGGAAAAGAGCAAATAATAAATAAAGGAAATCAGAGCCAGTACAATTCAAAATTGTTCAAAATAACTCACCTTCCACTTTAGAAGCTTGAAGAGCTGAAAAAGGAATTTGCAGCCGAATCGAAATCGCTGATTTCGCGTGACTGAGCGCAGCGCTGTCGCATACACTGTCAGGCGCGATGATGCCGCCCCGACAGTCCGCCAATGATGAGGACGGTAGATATATCCAAAAACATAAACTAATCAATGATCAGTATCAGTGCTTGAAGAAGCGTCATGAAGGTTCCCTTAATTCGATGAACCCGTTCATAATTGCAAATGTTCCATATTTCGCGCCACTATCTAACGCTCTTTTTCGCTTACGCGTGCCATCAATAGGTACGTTCCGCCATCAAAAATGGTCGGTAGTGGGGCTCAGCAAGCTAACGACAAGATGGTGATAAATCAGCAGTAAAGGAAAAAGAACAAGAGTTTCCAGCAGGCCTTCGATAGAATCACTGCCCACTCGTCTGGGAGACTGGTATACTCCTCTCTTTTTTAGACGGAGTAGGCGTGGCATTTGAACATGGCGCAGAATGGGCTACTCGTTGGATGTTTCACTTTGAGACAACTGTCATCTTGTTCTGTGTCAGAGGTAGACACGACCACCATTGTGTCAAAACGAGAAATACTTATTTCAAAAGCACAGTCAGTACAGTCAGTTGAAGTACGTAGCCACGCCTACCCCATCTGACGGATTTGGAGTGTACGTGCATTTGACGAAGAGAGGGCGTGCTTACATTCACTGCTTTTCATGACAATAACACCAGTTCATTTGCATATCACTTCGCTCTCACCACTCGTGATAGGAAGAGCTCGTAACGTAAGAGCTTCACCACGGCTACTATGGAAATGAGCCTTGAGCGTAGTACGAGGCAATGAGTGGGACATGGTCTTTGTCACGACTGCCTAGCCTCCTTATCACGTAATTAGACCTGCGGGAATGCTATATCCTCTCTGGTTGCAGGCCAAACTACCTTATCGTCACATTGAACGAACAGGAAATGCGCCCGCAAGATAAGTAAAGTTTCTGCGTTTGAATGGTGAGTTTTGCAATAAAAAAATACTTCTCGCGGACAACTCACGAAAGTAGTGCTGTGAGCAGGTTCACCAGCATGATACTGGCGACAAGCATGTAGGTGAACACAGTAATCGGAATAAGAGCGGTACGGAAAAGGCAGCGCATGTCTGAAGTGCTGGCCGTCCACATCGACCGCCAAGAAATGTCGGCACATCCGGTCACGGTGCCTGAAATTGCTCCCCCCCCCCCCCCCCCCCCCCCCCTTTTAGTTCGGACTGTAAAACAATAGTAGGAGAAAGGACGCACCCGCACGACGATAGTTCCAGATATCCTGCTGGAATGCGCCAATGCAATTCCGAAGAGGTAGCATTTTGAACGTATGCTGGTAATTATTCCCAGACGGACTGATTTATCCCGGATGGATGGATAGCTTGTTTCACCAAACTGGATTTGGCAATTAATTTCCGGATTATGAGTCCTGTGATGGTGCCACTTCTGACACCCTACACACTGCTCACATGATGAAAGCTTACTAGATCCTTCCTGAAAGCATAGTTCACGTGGCATTATGGGAGGAGACACTGCACCGCATTGCCTCTCCCACTGGTGCGCCTAAAGAAGGGGGGGGGGGGGGGGACCAATGGGGAATGCACAACAGCTTACTTTCTCCACCCACACAATTAACGTGGACTATCCCTCAAAGGATTATGGGATATGCATTGCTAGAGCAGATGAGAATAAGTGAAACGCGTAGTTAACCTATTTTGTCCTCGTCATCGACTTCACCAAAAATCTCGAAAGCTCCATTTTGAAACATCATCCATGCCAATGAATGATTTGATCTCACCGCATATTCTTCTACAATGAAAATGAATAATGAATTCATACAAGTTGTTCAAAATTCAAAATCCTTACCTGCCATGCTGATGTGGCATACAGCGAATATTACCCAGAAAATAACGAAAATAAACAGAAACTTGCCTAGTGTTCCTGATCTGTAACGGAACCTTATTTTGTTTAATGATACATTTCACGGTACAAGAACTCGCCCAATGATCTTGTCTGAAACGGGTGGCCTCTCAAGAGTAAGTCACAGGAAAACGGCAAAGCGTATAGGGTAAACCTCGAGCAGAAGCGCCTTTTCCAACCAGGGTTGCCACTATAGCACCTAGCCAAGTTGCAACATGCCAACTCAGACGCTTACCGCAACCGCCCGCTTCCAAATAGTCGGATAGTCACTCACTAGTTCTCTGCGGACGGTTGGGCGTGTCAGCCAGTATGAGTGTGTCACCCTATCAGAGTTCTCTGCCTTCTTGTTGAAGAGCGCATGCGACAAAAAGTGGTAGAAAACGAGTAATACGAAGCATATGATACAGTATTGTCACTTGCCCGCTTCAACAACTGGTGTAGAACGAGTTTGGCACCGCGCCAAACGCAGCCGCACTGACACGCCCAACCGTCCGCAGCGAACTACACTATACATCGACTGTTAGTGCTCTTATCGCTTCATTCAAAACATTTGACAAGAAGCGTTGCCACACGGATATTTGAGCACATACGTATCTATCGACGTGGTAGCTGGCACGATGCCTTTGGGGAACTCGTCCAAAAGTGCTCGCCTAATGCCCTTTCCAGAGGTTCATGGAAGTTTGACATCGCTTTTTTTTCGTTGACCAGAGCTGTTATCACACTACGTCACACCCCTGCTACTATTTTTGAGCACTCACCTACTTATTTTGCGCTATGGCTCTGAGACAGAAGACAAAATTGCACAAAGGTGCAAAGCCTCTACCGGGTGTTAAAGGAACGGTCCGCGATGACCTATGAAAATGCAAGAGGTTATGTGGGAAGGTAGTGCGGTCCGGAGTGGACAACCCTGTGCCAGTTTCGCGGCGGAAAGTTGTACGGTAAAGGAATTAAGGCGCAAAGTTGCTTCAGTGGTACATCCCTTTTCCAGTGACTCCGCCTCCAGACTCCGCCTCCAAAGTCGGCCTTCCAGCCAAAAGTAATGCTCCCGGGCAAGTATCATGGAGTGGATGCATTCAATGTCTCTTGTAGAGTCATAGGGTTCATTACTGGGAATCAGCCGACGGGAATCGTCCCAGCGCGCGGTCTTTCGGTCTTTTACCTCTACAGTTGTTTGAGGCTAGAGGAGGCCTGACGAATGCGTTTCCAACGTTCCCTTTGGCATTTTCTCTTCATAGACGGTTCACTTGGCGAATTTTCTTCCACCTTTCTGCAACATCACCTAGGGTTTTCATCGCGGACTGTGCCTTTAAGGCGAAAGCATAACGCATTTGATTAAGTTTGCTTCTGCGATGACTGTTAAGATACCTCAACTCCTGGCTCAAAACCACCTGATTGCGGCGTGCACTGGTGCCATAGACCGAGTTCACTCATAAGGTGGCTTTTTCCATTATCTCTTCAAAACACCGCTGCGATATACAAAAGGTTCTAGTTTTTGTGTTATCTCGGTAGGAACGCAAAAAATATTGCTGGTTAGTGTCCAGTGAAGCGACACTCAGTTGGATATATGGTACGGCGTTTTATTGACATTGTTCCCGCTCTCTTTATAGACTTTTTACTGGTACAGTTGAATTCCGTGATTTAGAAAGAAATCTTACCATTCTTCTGAGCATAAAGGTAAGAACACTGAAGAAATAGAAGACACTCAGATAACGAATCATAGAAACAGCAGCGAATAAAAATGAGATGTGGAAAATGAGATCGCTCATTGTGGTTAGGAGAGCCCAGAAACCTCTAAAATGCTTATTATCAGCTAGAAAGGAGGATTCGTGGTAAGATAAACTCACGTTACTTCGCCGTCGGTGAATCCAGCATGAATAACAACTGCAGCCAGAGTTATACAGTTCATGACGATAACAATGTCACGATAAAATCCGAATAAGTGCTCGGCTGTCCATTCGAAGAAGCCCTACAAGCAGTAAGACAGTCAATTTTGTGGTTTTTGATATGCCTCCTCCCTAAGAACGGTTAGACGGCAAAGAAGAGGAGGTCCGCCTATGATAAAGGCGCAGTGGTTGACTGTCTCCGCCCATTGTGGATCGCGCCTTCCATCACCTTCTGTAGCCTTCTAAGAAAGAGTTAACGACAAAAAAAACTTGATCAACGATCATTTCCTGTACTTTCCACATTGAGCGGATATGTAAAATGGGATTGACTCCTGTACAAATTCTTTACCAGCCGTAATCTTCTTATTTTCCTGTTCCACCTAGTTCCTATGCTGCACAACCATGGTCCTTGGATTGGCTTTGCCGGAGGCATCTTAAATACAATACTGCTCAACCAAGAATTCGTCCAGCTAATTTCTGTAAGTTTCTTACCCTTTCTCTGATCGCCACAACACAATCGAATAGCTGCGAAAGCTGAACTGATGCTACCATCAGTTCAGGCCAATAAGTCGAGAAATGCGGCACCTGCGCCCTTTTTCGAGTTTTAGCAACGAGGACCCAGCTGTATACGACCACGTAAAGAATACGGAAAATCTGCAAAGACTCCAATTCCGTGTTGTTTATGAAATTCTTTCCAAAGCATTGTTCCTTGGCACTCTTTAGAAACGCAATTCCATTCTGATCGAAACTTTTCCCAGTGGGGAGGTAGTGTGCTGGAGTCTCGTCCAGTGGAGTAGTTCAGCCAGGGCAGGTCGTACCTTGGCAATCCTCAGCCAAGAGGGTCGCATTAGCGTTAGGAAAATTCCTTTCGCTTGTGGATTTTTCCCAGTTTTTCCTTTTCAAGTGCGCTATAAAGATCCCCCCCCCCATCCCACTGCGCCTGCCCGCCCGCTTGATGGTCCACGGCAGTCTTTGGGGATAAAGAGAGGAATTATTGGAAAAACGGACGGAAGGTGGGGGAGGGAGGGGGAAGGGGGAATCTAGAAAGATTGTATAAGCAAGGAGAGGGGTTCAAGCAGATAGGCAATCCTTGAGGTAGGAGGCATACCCAGCAAAATTTCCCCAACAGCACGATGTGCTCTGAATTCGGCCGCTCTGATAAGATTATCACACCGTTTGGCTTAAAGACAGCTCCCGCGATAAAAGTGTCAAGGATAATTGCTGATCAATTATGAAACAGTAGCTGATAAGTAATTCCTCAATGAAGGAAAAAAGCAACAAGAGCCCTCAAGAACACCACAAACAAAATTGCTCCCTTACAGTTACACCGCCCTGCGGTCCGTGGGCAACCCCTGGCTCACAAATCGCTTTATGGCATTTCCCAGTAGTGGACAACATCCAATTCAAAGAAAAGAATATGAAAAACAACAAAGACACGAACGAAAAACACTTGAAAAAGGAAAAATTCAAAAACCTGGCGTCCGAATTTGGGGTTACGTGCAGTGTGCAGCTTTTGGTGCATGTCGAGCTTTTGCACCACAGAAATTGCATCATTCGTGATTTTTACGCGTTTTACCTTACGAGATGGGTTGCAGTTGACTGTATGTGCTCCCAATGAATAAAATGTGATGAAGGAGAGCAGAATTATTTATGGGCACGAGCGCGGTCAGCAAAAAGTACATGCAGTTCCGATTAATGCCCGCCGTCCCAACAAAGAACAACTGAGCGGCTCTCCGTCAGAGGGCAGCTAGCAAGTGGGCGGTCCAACTGGCGGGCGTTAGAACTAGAACTTTGAGCGGCTGTAGCTCGCTCCTCGCTCACTGTGGAGTCGCGAGAGTGGGATAGTATCTAGCTTGGGGGCTGAACTACCTGCACAAGGAAGGACGACCATGTACTACTTGAGCGCGGGGGATGTCCTAAAGACAAATCAGAACACCTCGAAACGTCGAAATGCCGAGAATCTGTTCCAAATGGCATAAAAGGTATTGTAATTTCCCTGTCCGTAGTCCCGTGCCCACTTTCCTCTTCTATGTACGTATCTGCCACTTTTTTGCCTGGACCAAAAGCAAGCTCACAACGTGGGAACATTTTGATCTTGAAAATCGTCTGTTCGTGCACCCTGGCTCCTACGTTGAAAACTGGACTGCGGCTCCGGCGCTTGTGATGCGGACGTCAGACATTTCCGCATTAGGTAGATGCAATGTTCCCACTCATGAGGAAAATATCTGCGGAGATGACGTTTCGGCCAAATTTACCACTGAGGTTAAACTTTGATCAAAGGTGGTTCGAATTCCTAAGGGTGGGACATGATGGGTATTGTGCCGCATATTTTTCTGAATGTAACCGATTCCAAATTGCATTAGCTATCAGTCAACTATGCAAGGGGCTAACTACTTCATTTAAGTTCAGGAAGAAAAAGCAGTTTACCACGTGATAGAAGAACTTGGCTTTGGTAGTTGCGTAGAATTTCAAGGTTGACCAGAGCCAGTGTGGAGTTCGTCCATGGCACTTTGAAAGACGTTCATATCGCTCATAAATGGAAGATGATCCGCGTTTCTGCTCATCGCTGGTGCGAGGAGACTTGCTCAGGCTCGCTTGTTCTCTGATGGGAAACCTAGGCATAGAGTAGTGCAACACCATTCCGCATCTTTCCACTGGAACATTTTGCGACTTTGGAAAATTCAAGTAGTCCAACTCATGAGAATCCGGTGTAATAGCATCATGTGGGAGCATAGTTGGAGAGTCAAGGTCGACTGTTTGTGAAAATGCGGGATTCTCCTGGCAAGTGGCCCAGTAGCATCCCTCGATCATCATTTCGCAAATCCTTATGCATTTCGACTTTTTCATCGATTGGTGGCGACTTTTCTTGTTCAGGACCTCTTGATTTTCTCACTGCGTACTCTTTGTAAAGGAAGCACGGGAACACGTAGCTGATTAGAGACCTCGTCTGAAAAAAAAACGTTATGGACTGTGATGAACTTATACAACTGCTACTGAAAACTCATTAAGGAAGTAGAGAACAAAATAAAGAGAAAATTAGTCGAAATTCAGGGGCCTTACAAGTGAGGGTACAGCATCGTGATGTGTAAAATGGTGGTGTCGGTACAACCCCCCTCCCGCGACTTTCCTAATACCTACCTACTTACCTACCATTCTTTTTCCCCACAAGCTCTCAGCTTTTAAACACTTTTGCCAGAACTTCCCGAAAATGTTTGCTGTCGAGCAGAGGGAGAAGCAGGGGGGGGGGGGGGGGAGAGGGTATTTGACTAATGTGAAACGGGAGAAACAGCGAAAAATCAACCACCGGGAGAAAAGTTTTCCCAACACGGCAGGTTTCTCAAAGATACATCCCCCTCTCCCAACAACGACCCAATACGACTCCCCCCCCCAAAAGGCCAACTAGGACTCCCCGTGTTGTTTCACACAACGATGCTGTACCCTACTTACAATACTCCGCTTCGATAAGAAGTGACGCTGTTTCCTGCATCTGCAGCCCATCCGCGGCGAGTCTTGAAGCTCAACCCTGGGTACGCCATTGCGTTTTGATTGATAACTTTCTGCCAAATACGACCCACCCCAAGACAGGTTCTCGATACGACCCCCTGTCCATTGGGCATCAACTGCACCGCCATTGCGAGGTACAGTTATCTTATGATCGTTCAAAGACCCATTCCATTGCCCGTACGATACATGATGGAGGATGATCCCCATCAGGAAAGATTCTGTTCCATAAACGTCCTTTAAAAACATAAAGCTCAATTCTCCGCAAAGAGACGATAGAGGGACTTACTGGACTGAGTCGTAGCCTTCCATGCCATCTTCTTTCAATCAGGCTTTGGCAGCAGTTGTGCGCCAGGAAATTCTGGAAGGAACCATGGATTTGTGGGAAGACCACATTATAAATGAAAAGACGCAAACCATCGCTTTGCTCTGTAAGCCACAGCCATAAGTTCGATAGATGCCTCGTCACTGCGAACGCTCCATGGAGTTTGTACTAAAGCTTTTAACATCAGCACAGTCTATCGTCCACGCATGGGCGGAGTCAGGCCTACCTTTGGATATTCTTTGTTGGCACGGTTCTTATTACTGCTTTCGCAGAAGGGATCGGTGCTTTAATAAGAGAGGCACAGTGATAGGCCTGACTCTGCCCAAACGGGACAGCTTGACTTTCGGATAGATCGAGTGAAGGCAGCCCTTTAATCTGATCAAAGGCTCACCTCGGCAGCAGCCTCCCCAGCAGGTGGCTGCCCGTTTGGGGTAAGTATCGCTTCTTTTCAGAGTAGTCGCCCCGTTGAAGAATTCATTTTCACCAAGTTTGAAGATCTTTTCATAATCAATTTCAATAGCGTTTATAGCAATGTTAGCGTTTTTTCGGAAAATATCATTCAGTAGATTGAGGGTTCTTTCTTCGAAAAAACTGAAATGGGTGAAATGTCTGGAAAACTTCTTGTGTGCACATTCCACGCTCGTCGCAGCGGCAGAGCTGGCCTAGATATGTAGTGTTCGCTGCGAGTGATGGAGCCTGACCAGGAGAAGGGTTTGGTCCAACGCCAGCACGTTCCCGGCCGATGCACCAAGATGTGCTGTACAAGCACTAGTGGTGGTTCAGTCTTTATTCTACGTCTCTCGAACGGACTCAGCCGCTCGAGACAAGCGCTACAAAACCAACAAGCTGACCATGCGCCGGGCGGGCGGGGCTTCGTCGCGCGTAGGGTGCGACACTCTTCACTTTTTCGGAGAGCGACAAGGTTGTACCATATCGTTCGCTTCGCTCCTAAGCCACCAATTTTGTCGCACACGTCCTAAAAAGTGGTGGAGAACGGACGGCGGTGCGCCAACCCCCTCACTGACACGCCCCTTCATGCGCAGCGAACAAGACAGTGTCAGTTGGAGCTGCATCGGTTGCGCCACAGAGAGGACAAGTGCGAAAAATAAAGCATGAGGAGGTAGCCTGTACTGCGAACGTGAAATGTGCAATTAAGTTAATGGAGTACCATCGGTTTTCAGCGAAGACCGCAGCTTGGTACTCGTCATGAACTCCTTTGAAAAGCCTCTCCATCACAACACAGGCGTACATACAGATAGCACCGGCATATAAATGAAATCTGCAGCTCGGCCACAGATCGACATCATATCCTTGACTCGACCTGAAAATAAGCATTTTCCAGCCGGCGAGCTTCGCATAGGAACCTTCTGTCGCCTCCAGCAAGTCAACTGTAGCAAGAGAGCTCTTCTGGCACCTATACAAAATCAAGGGTTAAATGATAGTTGCCTCACATTTCTCCTTCTCGTTTCCAACACTTTGTCCGGCCAAAGAAGGCGTTGCACAGCATTTCACAAAAACTGGGATCGACATTGTAGATTTGATAGAGTGGAACCCTTCAAAATTGACTGTCAGTTCAAGAACGTCTCTTATCTAACTCGTTTGAATAACCGCTTGAGGAAAACGGATTGTTCCACAAATAATTCAATTTTGATTTCTCAATGACTATAACATTTCTATGGAATTTTCTTTCATTGAAGTTTCAGAGAGGGGGGGGGCTGTGATTCAGTGAGGTCACTTAGTTTCCGTTTCACACAAATCCTCAAAAGTCCAGGAATTGGTTGAGATGGTACATTGGAAAATCCATATAATTACGATGAAGCAGAGGTGGTGTACTGTCAGTGGCGCGCTTAGCACCCGCGCGGTCCTGAATCCCAATCCCGGGTCTACTTCCCATCACCCCAGGCCAACCACCCGCCTTCTACCCTCCGAGGACGGTCATTTGTTACCAGATTCGTCTAAGAGGATAAAACACTATCTTATGCATCGGCTGGCCCTCGCAACGTCACTGTGTGGGCCACATCGCATTCAATAAGCCCCTACGGTTCCAAATGAAGGAATGAAATGCATGCCTGATCCGCATCAAAAGGATTCATCAACTTCGGAAGACTATTCGCTTTTTGATGCTCTTACCGTATGACCCTGTTGAGTTCAAAATCAATAAAATCGATAATTGATCGCGTTCGAAACCGAATATTGGACCCGCTGGCCACCTTATACGTTTCGAATATTCGCTCCTGCAAGCAGTACATGCATGACTTCATATCGTTGAAAGAATTCAAATTGCTGGTGCTCACCTTTTCCTCCAAATCTCTGAGTATTCGTTCAATAACTGATTCCAAGTATAGCACGCGATTTATTTCGTTCATTCTGGTGGTTAGACGGGTAGAATGACATGTAACTCAGTTAGAGTAGTCAGTATTCACTGGGGATCTAAATCAGTAAATCGTTCCCATATTCAATTAGCCATTCCTGAGCAAAAAGGAACCAAATCTTATTCATCGCTTTTGAGGAGACAGAACACAACTAAGAACATGGCGACCCCGAAGAGAGGTAATGGTTTTCTGAAGACGATATTCTCTCAAAGGCGTGTTGCATGCTGGTCGCAGGACGGAAACAGCTCGATCACTTCTCATTCTCATTGATGCCTCCCCTCTTAACCGTTAAAGGAGTCTATTTTAAATGGGAGGCGCAAGGGTAAGCCCCCTCCGTCCTTATGACCAGCATATACTTAGATTTGAATGCACCCTTTCACGGGGGTGTTTTACTGTAGGTATCGATACTATGGAGGTCTCCAGGTGGAAGAGCAAGCGACCTACCTGCAAGTTATGTCCGCGCGGCAAAACGGCGGAATGCTATTCATGATAAAGAGAGAGAGCAAGTCAGAACACTCTAAAAAAATACCCTAGGTAACTCCCAATATCCACCAGCAGCTAACCCGTTCATGGCGATACCTACCACCACTGGTCAACCGTCTTTTAGAAGCGCGGTTTCATCTTTAACAGTCTTCCTAAATGGACAACTAGACGACAAGAGTATAGGATGGTATAAAAATAGTTGGCAGGCCTAACTCCGGCAAAATGAGTCGTGCGCTGTGAAGTTCCCGCTTGACGGGAGTGGGTCGCATCTAGTAGACAGAGGGGGAAAAAGGTCGTTCTCTGCAAAAAAATCCACAAAAAAACAAACAAATTTTAATCCACATCGTTGAGAGACCATCGCAATGGAGGAGGACACAATTTGCAGATTTTTCCACAGCAGCAGGACGTGCTCTAGTCATAGAAGACTCGAAAGTCAATGTTCTTTTCATTTTCGAGGTTTGTTCACAAACCCAGTAGTGGCAGTAGTTGCCACCCTCACTTTGCAAAGGAAACATTATAGATATATAGCATAGAATATATAGAGATACATATACAGGGGAGGGGGCCAAAAAAGATCGACCTAGTCAGATATCAGTAAAGATGATGATCCCCTTTCTCATCTTATTTACCATAATCTCAAATTTTTGCCGAAATCCCACCTCTTTTTCGTGGGTTTTTTTCAAAGAAATTCTTTCACTCTTTCTTCAGGAGTTGCCTCGAGTAGAAATATACGGTGTGGGGGGGGAGGGCAAAAAAGATAACTTTGTCGAGTCACATATCAGTGAAGCTTACTGGCCGAGTCACATATCAGTGAAGCTTTGACGCCAGCCGCAGAGAAAGACGTGGATATGAGCCAGAAGGCAGCTCTCGTCATCTTCTCTTCCATGTACATAAGATACATCGAAGCATTCCCAACCAGGAGCCGGACTGGAAAAGGCCTAAAAATTCAAGTCACCTGCAATCAGCTGCGAAACTTCTTCTATGGAGCGACCCGTGGATTACCCGGGGACCAGCATTCTTGATCTGGAACACCAGCAAGATCGAGCAGCTCCGACAACGTCGCTACGTTCCAGGGTATCGTCTCTCTCTGCAGTGCAAGGCGCGGGTTGATGGTTTGAACAGGAAGCTCCCGGATTTGAACTGGAAGCTCCTGGAATGGGAAGACCGATATTCCCTCACTGGAGCCCGGACCGAAAGTGAACGCTGTGAACGCTGACGGTACATCAACCAACTTGGGAGACACCTAGTTTCATGTCGTCGTCCATACCATCTTGGAAACTTTGTACTGCTACAGGATTGGGTGCCACCACATGGAATCGAAGGGCGTTGGAAAAACTCTCGCCTACTTGGAATGGAAGGGCGTTGAGTACCTGAAGAAGACGGAATATCTAAGTGTGTCACCTGACTGAACCCCCTCGATTACCGGGTTCCAGAGGAGTTCAACAGGGTGGTGCGTGGCAGAATCTCTCGATGGCGTTCGTACAGAAAACTGTGGTGGAGTTTCATGATCGTGTGCAATGTGTTGTTGAATTTAATGGTGAAAATGTCCAATTAGAATTTGAAGTGTAATTTATATCGCCTTGAAAGTCGAAGAAGAGGAGTGTCTTCCTTTGGTCCCCCCCCCCTTGTATAGTATAGAAACAGCTATCACCGTTATCGTCAGTGCTAGGTATAAGTACGATTGAAATGGATCATCGAGAAAACCGAAAACAATCTTCGGATAATAAAGTCTTTATCTTCAGGAAAAAAAGAAAGGCTATGGAAGATTAGCAACTGGAATGGTGAATCCACTGCTGGACAGTACATGTGGAGCTGCAAGTGTTCTGTTGCACAGCTCATCGATAGCACGGCTTATCACCTTTGTTTGCACAGTTCCATCTATGATTCAACATGTCCTAGCAGTGTGTGTATCGTGTGTGAAATTAACCTTTGGACGACTCTTATAATCCGTCTGTATGTTCAGGAAAAAATTCTAAGTTTCTTTGCGTAGCGGCAACCTCGGTGTAAGTGGGGCCGCTTCAGAGGTGCATCATCAAGGGGTCCCCAGATTGAATCCTGCAGGAACAAAATGAGACCTCCGTCCCAATGGATCTCAACCGTTTCGAAATTACAGGGTAGTGATTTGATAATGCAGATCCCTAACTTTCCTGACTCATTACTGTTTCGAAATGTCACAAATGAATCCTGAGGAAAGTACCGTTGATACATTTAGCAAAAAATATACCGTCGATATAACGACAGAAAAATAGAGGCACAAGGTTAGATTCTGGTAGAGTAGATTACGGAGTATCCGGAAGGAGTCTTGTAAAATTCACTGAAATGGTGATCACCTTCAACGAAACGTCGGCTCTGCTCTAGGCTCGAGATCTATAGAAGCTATGAGCTCTGACCAGTGTGCCGGTTCCACGTGGGCTGCTGGTATACCCGTGTCTCGAAGTGCCGGCATACCCCATGACCCCTCATGTGGCGCTAAGGGCACTGGACCAGCTGGTGCGGACAGTAGCTTCATCACCGGTTACTAATAATAGCTTGTGAGCAAAGCCCAGGATTCTGTACTTTTTTTCTTTCTATGCACTAGGATTCCGTACTTTTTTCGGTCTATGTGGTCTAAGTGCTGCTTTGGTTTATTCTTTCTGACCCCTGAAGTGTAATTGTCTAAAATTAAATTGCAGCTGCATTTTTTGTTTTTTTTTTCGAGTTCAAG